GGTCAGTTTGTGGCTGAAATGCCGCACCGGTGAAGTGTGAGACTGGAGGTGCACAGGAGCAGTGGGGAGCCTTGATGGCCCAAGCCAGAGACGAGGTTTCTCCTGTTTGCAGGTGGGGCTCTGGGGAATTTGAGGAGCCACGTTGGTTGTAGCACTCGTGGTGTGTGAAATGATTTTGAAGGGGTGTGATTGGAATCTTCTGCGAGTTGTAAGGGTGCTTGCTTTTTCAGACTCTCTTCTATATCTGGGAATCTACTCTGCTCACCTTAGTACCTCAAACATCCTGATTTCCATAACTTTTGAGGACAGAAAGTAGGGCATTTCTTTAGATGATTTCTAGGGCAGGTTGATGCAAGGCAAGTGGGCTTTGCATTTCCTTCATGATAGCTGGATGGAAAGTTGTTTTTAGATATTATCCCCCTTTGCTTTTTGGAAATTGGGGTACCTTGGAAGTAAGAATTTTTTCCCTGATTTTTTAAAAATTCTAAATTTTTTATTTATTTATTTAGGGTTTTTTTGAGGCTCTTGCAGTGCAGTTCAGTCTGGCCTTGAGCTGACCTAGGCTGGCCTCAAACTTACGGTGGTGATCCTCCTGTTTTAGCCTCCTGAGTACCTTCCTTGATTATTGTTCTAGAAAACAGTGTTAAGAAAAGTGTATCACCTATAATATCCCATGACTCTGAAATGATTTCTGTTAATATTTTTAAGATGTTTTAATACTTTTGGAAGTAAATTTTTTAAAAATTTGAATGATTGTACATAAGTGTTTTTCTCCTTTTTTGTTTCCCAGTACCAGGGATTGAACTAAGGATGTTGTGCCTGCCCGGCAGGCATGGCACCGCTGAGCTACACCTCTTGCCCATAAAACAGTGTTTTTAAGGTGTGATCTGCCAGCTTCAGCATTGCCATCTAGTGTACTGAGTGAGAGTCTTGCGAACTGGGCCTCAGATCAGTATTTGAACAACTTTCCTGCGTTCTCTCATCTGGATGGAAGTTCCCAGAGCCTCAGTATGGTTCTGGGTACAGCTTCTTTGATTTAACCTGCGGACCACTTTCCTTAGGAATAGGGAAAAGTGAGTCATATTTTAGGCAGAATGTTTTAATGTCTCCAGTCTAGATTAGCAGTGAACACAGCAACAAAAATATATAGGCTTCTCCCTCTGGGGGTGGTGCTGTCTGATATAATACTGAGTGCGGTTGTGGAGCAGTTGTAAGCAAGCAGAACCAGTGTGAGAAACCTGAATCTTGTCCTTTGAAATCCATCGATCTGGTTCTTCAGCGAGGGATTTCAGTTGTCTTAAGTTAATTAGGTAACTGATTAATGAATTCCTTTTCGGCAAGTATTTATCTACCACTTGCTTTCTGCCTCTCTGCCTGGGCCTGTGTTGGGGCTTATAAGTCGCAAAGCACATTAAAAAGCCACAGATTTGTTCCCTAAGGCCTAACTGGTTGGTCGCTCTGTACTTGTCTTGCATAGGACCCCAGATCTTGCCCTGGCTCATGGTGACCATGACACCAGAACTAATGTGTGTGGTCACCGTCTCTGAGGATGCATGCACGGCACTAAGCCAGTTTGCCATTACATTCTCACTCCATTTTTGTTGCTGATGATGGATTTGTCAGATAAGACATTCTCATCTCTGTGTTTTCACAAATTGGTGCTAAAATGATTGCTCTTGGTCCAGCTTTGCTTCCTAACTGCTGTTCCCTGCCATGACGAAAACTGTACAGAAACAGGAACAGACTTCCTCTTCACCTGGAATTATAGTTCTAGTCAGTGAGGAAAGAGAACCTGTTTTATTTTTATCTCTCTGATTTTGATTAGCAGCTTCTTTGGGGAATGTGGCTTGAATTGCACCCCCCATGACCCTGTAGCAGTAACCTGGCATTTACTAGTGTTGGCTTGTTGTGTTTGCCCGGGCACCCTGTTAGACATATGGGTTTTCTTTTTAAAAATGGACCCAAAGTAATGTACATCTTTTTTTGTTTCTTTGCAATGGCTTCTTTTTAATCACTGTAGTATGAAGAAGGGAAAGGAATTGCATGAATTGGGTGTGCCTGATGTCAGTTTTGCCTTTCAGGTCCTATGGACTTCAGCTCCCGTACATCCTGTCTGGCTTCCTGGTGGCAGTCAGCTGCTGGTGCAGGCAATGAGGGATCCCTGGCCTGCTGGATCTGGTTGGTGGTCAGGGAGTGTTCGCGAGTCTGGTGTGGTCTGGTCTAGCTCCTGCAGCGTCTTTCTTTGCCCAGCACATATAGGGGTTTGTCCAATGTGTTAGCTGCTTGACACAGGGACCAGGGGAAGGGAGTAACAGAGACATTTGTTGTCTGCTGTCTTCAGAACTGTGAATGGGTTTGTCTCCAGGTCTGGTTCTTGGAATAAAGGTCAGGACCATGGTTTGCATAGCCATGAAGGACAGGTAAGCTTCTGTGGGAGGCCTGGAGTGGTGCAAGCTGATGAAGAGGCGACTGCTTCCTGTGGTCATTCTGTGTTAAGACTGGCTCCCTGTCCTGAGGCTTCTTGTATCCAGGTGATAAGTACCTTGGACTGATTTCTCTGGCTGTTTCTCCAGAGTGTAGGCGTGAGATCTTAGGCAGGTGCTCTGGGAGAGGGTGTCAGTGCTGGAGCTCTTCTGGTGGGCACAGTAGTGGTCTGTGCTGACCAAGGTGAAGCAAGTGCAGTTACCTCTGCATCTGAACCAAAGAGCTGTTGCCTTCCAGAGGGCCGGATCACACCAGGAGTAACGTGTTGTTCATTTAACCTTACCTGTGCCACTGTAGGTAGCTGGGGCCATCATTCACCCACTGGTGTATACCGAGCTCAGCTGTGCCAGGGCCCATGCGGGAGCAAGTCTCTGCAGTGTGCGGCTTCTCAGGGAGCCCCTGGCAGTCTGTCCACTGCACCCTGCTCACACTTGCCACCCTCTTGCCTTGCTTTCTCTAGAGTGTGTACCGCCTTCTGCACTCTGTGGGTCTCTTGTCCTAGCTCAGGTTTTCCTTTGTTTTTTTGCCTCCCCACAGTATGAATTTGGTTTGATTTTTGGTACCGGGGATCAAACTCAGGTCCTTGTGCTTGCAAGGTAGGTGGTAGAACCACTGAGCTAAATCCCTGGCTCCCCACAATGTGACTTTGATAAGGATTCTGTCCACTGCTATGCCCCCAGGCCTAGAGAAGCTAAGTGCAGTACTTTTTCATTTCTTTTTGTGCTCCTGGAGCACCCAACCCATAGTATTTATGGATGAATAAGTTAAAGCTCTACTACAGTTGGTGTGTCCAGAAGCCCAGGGTCAGGCATGGGAAGGGGTCAGGGACCTCACTGTCCACATCCAGAGCGAGTGTGTGTAGTGATCAGCATGTGCATGTGCCTGAGAGGCTGAGGCCGAGCCTGGACAGCTCTCTAGCGAAACCTGGGTTCAAACCAAAGGGTATGGAGCTCTGTGGGAAAGCCCTGCATCAGTTCCCTGGATCAGCACCCAAAACAAAGATAGAAACAAAAAAGCAGGGTGAGTAGTGCTTCAGGATAGTCCTGGGGAGGGGAACCTTATCTTGGGATGGTTAGGAGGATGGTGCTTTGGGGCGAGCCTCTGTGCGTGCCATAGCATGAGAAGCTTGCTCCTGGCACACAGGCCTGGCGTGGTGGACCAGTGTACAGTGTGTACAGTGAGGCATCCTGAGAGCTGTGGGGGCTCAGTGGGAGGACTAGGCGGGAGCGCCTTTGGCCCCTTGAGGAGTGAGGTGGGCTGCACCCAGGGCAGTGGGCAGCTCAGGCCCCAGTGCTTGGAGTGATGCCTTTCCCGGGTAACAATGGGGCTGCACCGCGTGTACGTAGGGAAGTGTCTTCCCTCACTTTCATGTTGTGAATCGTTTTCTATTAAATGTTTCCTTTAGGGTTTTTTTGTGTGTTTGCTTGTTTGGTTTGGTTTTGGTTTTTTGAGACTGGGTCTCACTATGTAGTTCAGGCTGACCTGGAACTTGTAGTGACCCTTCTGCCTCAGTCTCCCAGGTGCTGGGATTGCAGATGTGCATCCCCACACCTGACCCTTCAGTAATATTTTTAAGGACTGCGGAGTACTCACAAATTTATTTTAGTTTTGCATACTAGAAACAGATGTCTGGCATGTCTTAGATTCATCTTTTCATTGTCTTAGAATTGTTTCACAGAATTAAGACACATTATTGTAAACAAATTTGTGGAGTGAAGGGAGAGGAATATTTTGCTAAATGATATTGACAAAGTAAATGAACTTTTGTAGATAGTAAAATAATACTATCAAAAACAAGTTATATATATGAAATACGTAAAAATACTAAGACCCATTTTTAAAATACTGCACTGGGTGTGTTGGCGCGTGCCTGTAACCCCAGCCTGTGGGAGGCTGAGGCAGGAGGATAACTGTGAGTTTGAGTCCAGCCTGAGCTACTTAGTAAGACTCTGAAAACCAAAACAGAGAAACAAAAACTCAGTGAAATGCCTTGTGTTTGGTGAATGCTATTTAACCACCACTATAGATATTTACAAAGGTAAGCAAAGAATTCCTACTCTGAGTATAGTAGTAACTCAGGCATAAGAAATGGTAGGGACTCCTTCCAAGATGTGTAATTAAGTACTGAATTAAGTGGTGCATTTGGGAGGTTCTAGTAGTAACTTAGAGAATGAATGTGCCAAGATGCTAGCTTTGAGACGGGAGAAGCTGTGGACAGAAGGTGTGAGGTTGGATTTTACATTAACCTGATCTCATTGGTGTGGTCCTCTCGCTGCTCCTGCTGAACTGTGTTAGATGCTTTACAGTGAAACAACCTTGCTTTCTAACTGGGGCTTTATTAGCTCATGAAACTGGATTTCCAGAGATAGGTCAGCTTCAGAGTTGGTTTGGTTTAACTGTTTTGTGGTGTCTTTGAGGACCTGATTCTTCTCATCTGTTTATCTCTCTCATTGGTGTTAGCATTTTGGGGCTTCACCACTCTTCGCAGCCTCTGTCACACCAGCCAGAAGGTGAGCATGAAGGTGAGCATGTGTCCAAGCCCCCTTAGGTAGTGGGAGTCCTGGGCTTTGTGCATTTTGTTTTTGTTTGTTTGTTTCTTTTTTTTTTTTGAGACAGTCTCACAATGGAGTTTAGGCTGACCTCGAACTTACTGCCTCAGCCTCCCGAGAGCTGGGTTTCAAATGTGCACTACCACATCCAGCTAGGGACCCTCTTGAAGCGAGCCATGTGGCTGGGAAGGACAGTGGGTGGCTCCGCTCTGTCCTTTGACCTGGGTGACTTCTACGGCTGGAGGGGAGACTGCCCGCTCCAGCACCATCCCTCCCCTACCCCTTCTCCCTCCACGTGTTCTCTGTGTGATGGTGCCTTGCAGCACCTCCAGCCTTCCTTAGAGGTTACGGCTGCTCTTCTGTCTGTGCCTTGAAACAGCCCCTGCTCCAATTCTGCCCTTCCCATTTTCTGTTGGTTATCTGAATCTCAAGTTTTTTATTTTTAATCATCATTTAGTAGCTATTTGTTAGATTCTAAAGTTTGTGCTTCCATGGATGAGATCCAGAACGGAAAGACACGAAGAGGTCACATAGGTAGATGAGAACTAGCGTGGGGTGTGAACAGTGCTTCCATGGAAGTAGAGCTTGGGAGTGCGTGAGCAGGGACACCTGGATGAGGCCTTGTAGGCCAGGTGAAAGTTGTTGGAGGGATGAGCGAGCGCACACTGTCTGCTGAGGTGTGAAGCTGAGCAGTGAGTAAGTGGAATACTGGCCACCTCAGGTGCCTGAAGGGATGGGGCTGGGTGGGGAGACTCCATCTCTATTATGTGCTACACAGGTAGGAGTCACCAGATGTCCTGCTTTATATTCTGTCCCAGAGTCATCAGTGGGGATCTTTTCACTTTGAAATGTGCCCCTGGTTTGGATGACAGGCGCTCAGCAGTTCTCTGATAGCCCTAGAAGGACCCTGGGGTCACACAAGGTACAGCATAGTCATACTTCTCAAGTTCAAAAATCGTCAGATGTTTGGGCTGGAATGTAGCTCAGTGGCAGAGTGCTGGCCTGACATATGGGAAGCCCTGCGTTCCATCCCTGGCAACTACTCCCCCCAAAAGAGCCAGTGGTTAATAAGCACTTTTGGATTGAGTAGGTCTGGGGTGGGCCCGGAGAGCAGCATGACTCCCACATTATGCCAGGCCAGTGACCATACCCTCCAGCAGCATATAGTGTAGCTTCTGGGAACTTCGTTGTCTGACATAGTGTTCCAAAATGCTGCGTGTATGTGCATTTTTCAGGTAGTGGCCTAATTCCCTTATGTATCCCACCACCCCCAAGATGATTAGCAGTTACTGTCTTTTAGAAAAGGTGTGAAATACATGTATTAACTACTGCCTTTGACACAGTCTCCAGTGGTGGCAAACCTGGCACACAGCGGCGGCTGTTTCTGTCCTTGAAAGCTCTCAAAGTCTTGCCATCACTGGTCTAGGCCACACTAGACTTTGAGTATGCTGTAGATCCCTGTCCTCCTCCCCATTTCTGGTTCTCTGAAGGGGGGAATAATCATTGCTTTACCTGTGTAGAGGACCATAATTTTTTTGCGGGGTTTTTTTTGGTACTGGGGATCTAACTCAGGACCTTGCACTTGTGAGGCTGGCGGTGGAACCACTGAACTAAATCCCTGGCATGGACTGTAATACTGATTATGCCCAAGGCAGGCTGTGAGGAGTGAGCCCCACAGCTGGCTTCTTTATAGAAGGGAGTCTGGCTGAAGCTTACGAGCCGAGGTCAGAGTAACTCACACCCAGATTCCCTTCCCACAACTAAAACCTTCAGGCTAGAAGGACAGCGTTCTAATTACAACCGTATATTTTTGTCTGTTCTGTTCCTAATTCGAGAATGCTTTGTCTTGTCCTTTATGAGCCTTGTTTACATTAATTTCCATAGAAACTGCACACAGCTTGCCTTTACCCCATTGATTGCCAATAAAAGTCAGTGGCTAGCAACTTTGTCAGGTGTACCAGCACTGGTTGTCCTGGCACCCCACTTTTCTAGTTTTGTCTCTCGGTGTATTTATTTCTCAGGCCTGCATCATATACTGGGCAGGTGGGTACTGCAACCTAACTGCAGGAGTCTCTGGATAATACATGTCTTTTTTTTTGTTGTTGTTGTTCTTTGATACCGGGGATAATATGTGTCTTTTTAAAAATTATTTTTCTGCCTTTGATGTTGAGCAAATGTCTGGTTTGGTGACAAACCGTTAGGCTTAGAAGCCATTCTTTCAGCCCTTGAGAGTCAGGCTGGGCTTTCTCTATAGCTGCTGACTGTCAGGCAGGGGGAGGATAAGCAGGGCTTGGACTGCATAGATCTGTAGGACTGCAGAGGAAATGGATCTGTTTAAGTGATCTTACTGAGGTCTAATACATGGTCAGAAAGCTGCTTCCCTTGCCTGTGATCCATAGAGGTCTCGTTCTCTAGTTCTCAGTTGCAGGTAATTTTGAAGTGGATTAATTAATTATTCTTCTTTCAGTTTATTCAGTTGCTGCTGCTTTTTTTTCTTTTTTTTCCTTTGTACTAGGGATCGAACTCAGGACCTTGCACTTGCCAGGCAGGTGTGGAGCCATTGAGCTGAATCCCCAACCTAGTCGCTGTTGTTCTTGCCAAATATATTCAGGAAAATTTTGTATTTCATTAACGTTGTCCAGAAATCTGGGATTTGTGATTGTCTTAGCATATTTGGAATGGAAAGAGTATATAATTCAAGATCTTTCAAAATTTCTCACCTAAGAGATTAGAAGAAAAACATAGTGTGCCATTGACACAAGAGTAGAAGCTTGTTTTGAGAAAGTAGTGATCCTTTAAGGTTGGACTAGAATATAAATATGGAAGTATTGTGGGTTTGACAGTTTGAAAGATGGAGCTGGAATATAATTGAGCAGTCCAAGCTGGAGAGGTGAATTTGCAATTAGTCATCGTGGTGGATGCTGCTAGGGTAAGTGGGCTGCGAGCAGGGAGCGCCTGCGTGCCAGCCAGAAGGGGAGAGCTGGCTGGGGAAGGAGACGGACACGGGTGCTGTGGAGTTGTGGAAACCGCCAGAGGAAAAGGTGTGTGTGCGGGTGACCTGGACTCTGATGCTTTAGGGAGAATGACTGGCTTGAGAAAACAACAGTGACCTTGGATTGGGAGGTTACTTTTATTTTTATTTATCTTAATTGAGTTTATTGGTACTTTTTAGGTATACAGTACAGTTACATTCATCACTGGGATCTTGTACCTCTACATGACAGGTCTTGGTTCTCATTTTTTCCCCACACCCCTGCCTTCCCTTTCCCCCTTCCACTCCCTGTTTACAAAGACTTTGTTTCCATTTTTTCCTTTTCTCATATTTTTTCTTGTCCCTTATTTCCTTTCCCCTACCCTTCCCACTTCCCCTACACTTTCAGCCCCTTTCTTCCTATTTCACATTATTGGTTATACAATTTGGATCTTATTTACACTTGTTTTTCACACCAGAGAAACTATTTGGTATTTACATATGTGTGTCTTATTTATTTCACTTAAGAGTATGGCCTCAGTATGCATCCATTTTCCTGTGAATGACTCTAATTTCTCATTCTTTTTTTTTTTTTTTTTGAGACAGGGTCTCACTGTGTAGTGGAGACTGACCTAGAACTAACTCACTATGTAGCCCAGGCTGGTCTCGAACTCACAGCAATCGCTCTGTCAGCCTCCTGAGTGCTGGGATTACAGGCATGTGCCGCCGTGCCCAGCTAATTTGTCATTCTTTATGGCTGAGTAGTATTCCATTTTATAGAAAAACCACATCTTCCTTATCCAGTCTCCAATTGATGGGCAGTTGGGCTGTTTCCAAGTTTTAGCTGTTACAAACTGTGCTGCTATAAACATGGATGCACATATATCATGGTGGTACTATTCTTTTAATTCTTTTGGAAAGATACCCAGCAGAGGGATAGCTGGGTCAAATGGGACCTCTAATCCTAGTTCCTTGAGCTATCTGGGAGGTTAGTTTTAGAAAGGGTATTGCTGGGTGACCAAGTTAGATCTCAGTGAATAGAAATAGCAAACGGGAAATGAATTCATTTACAAAAGAACTGTCTTTCATGCAAAAGACTGTTCTGAAAAGTTGCATGAGTTTCTCTATCAAATTATTTCTAGTTGTATTATAGTTTCTCTAGAGTGACATTTAGCTTTTTTTTTTGGTTTTTTTTGAGACAGGGTCTCACTATGTAGTTGAGACTTGAGACTAACCTGGAACTCACTGTGTAGCCCAGGCTGGTCTCCAACTCACAGCAATCCTCCTGCCTCAGCCTCCTGAGTGCTGGGATTATAGGCGTGCACCACCACGCCCAGCGACATTTAGCTTTGATAGTCTTTGTCTTTGTTAAATTGTTGCTTTCAAACCTTGAGAACCCTAAAAGAGTTCACATTTTTTTTTTCTTGGTACCAGAAATCAAACTCAGGATCTTGTGCTTGCCAGGCAGGCTCTGTGCTGCTGATCTACATCCCTGGCTGAAGAGTTCACATTTTAAAGGTGTCTTTTTGGATGTTGCTCATCACCTTATAAAGTGAATACTTATCTCAGATTGCTTTCTAATTTCTTTTTTGTTTGCGGGCATAACTGGATGGAGAAGTGGTTCTGTTCCCCCTCCTATTTTTTTGGCTCTACTGGGACAGCTTTCTTCCAGATGGGTCAGGGAAACACCCCTGCCAGGGATTCTGAGTATGACTTCTGCCTACAGTCAGCTGGCCCGAGGCCCTGCCTGCGCCTCAGCCCTGACCCAGGCCTGCTGCAGGTGTGGCCAGGGCCGCTCTGCCAGGTCCTGTCCAGGTGGTCCTGTCAGGCTGCTGTCCTGGTGCTGACCTTCCCGTTTCAGGAGGTCACCTCGCAGGATGGGCCTGCCACTTCCGTGCAGAAGTCTTGTGAGCTGATAGGGTGAAAGCCCCACCCTTCTGGATGTTCAAATCCCAAGTTCCACATACTTACCATAAGGCAGACTTTCTGAAGTCCCAAGTTA